ATCAAAAGACACATTTCTGCTCCTTGTCTCACTAATAAAATGTGTCCGGAGTTGCAAAACAAGCCACAGCTGTGATTATCAACTGGTGGTCCGTGGGCCTTTTTGAGGCCTTTTTCAGGAACCTTAACAGTCAGTGGAGGTGACATTATTAAAAAATATATATTATTATGTCATTTATTATCACACACATTAGGATAATTATAAAGGCCACATTCATGTAAACAAGAAAAATACTGTATACAGTTTATACCACATTTCATAAAAACTAGTACAACTGAATTATTCCGGTATATTTTTTTCAAAGCCTTATTATTATATGGTCTTCAAATTATTTAAAGGTAATTCGATGGATTTGAGAGAAAAGTCCAAGAAACTGGAATATCTAAGTAACCAACAGGTTAGCTTGAGCTAACATGTMTTACTTTTTGTATTAGTATTGATCACATATTTGCATGTATTTGTATTGCTCTCTGTTGTTGGTATAAAAAATAAAAATTATTATTCTGTTATGTTTGGTCACATTTTCAAAAAGCCACTGCACAGGGACCAAAGAGCCACATGTGGCCCCAGAGCCGCAGGTTGCAGACCCCCGGACTAAATCAACTATCCTCTGATAAATAGTTTTAGAATTTTCTTTTTCAGCATTCATTTGTGGCGCCCCCTAGATGGACGGTGCCCTTAGCATTTGCCTCTGCTGCCTATGCCACAGGATGACCCTGAGTGGATGCGCGTCTACAAATGATTAGTTTTTGAAGTTGATCCAATTCACGATGACCGTCACAGGCAACTGGCCTGAGAAAACACAAAAACAGCTGTAATTCAGCCAGTTCTCCAAGGCTGCTTTAAAAGCCACTTGTTACGTATCCACCTGTCTTCAGCTCGTCAGCTGATGGTGCAAAACATGAGTCAAGTATTGAAAGCATTTTCTTGATTATTTGTGGAAACTATTGTTTGCAAAGTGCACTTGCATAATCTTATGTACGTTTCAAACCAATGTGGACAAATATTTGGATTGTGTGAGATTTTCTTTGCCATACATCTGAGTGGCAGAAGCCAGAGCCGATTTAGAAATCCTCTCACCTTGTCAACGTCAGTCATCTCAGATGGTAACGTCTGGCCCGCAACGATTTCCTGTAAAGCTGTCAAATCTTTATGTGAGAGAGGAGGGAACCCCCCCGGGGAGACGGGGGTTACAGTGTGAGCAGTTAAAATCCTAATTATGATGAATTCTTGTGGCAGACGTTTTATAATAAGCCCGGCGGGGTTAAGCYTGACACATGTATTTATCCATATTGTGGCTTTAATTTATATATTTGGAGACTTGAGTGYTGATGTTAACCGTATGTGAGCAGGGGGTTGTGGGAGCTGCATGTCGGCTCGTCTCCGGCACGTCATCGGAGAGGCTGGATAAAAGCAGAGGAGGGAAAAGTYGTGCAGCGACGGAGCTGATTGATGCTGACTGAGTGGCTGCTTCTGGTTCAGAATGATGTGTCTGTTCGCTGCTAAATAGAATATTCATTGAAATGACTTGATGATGAGCTTTGGAAAGAGAAAGAGTAATAAAAGTGCTTCACTGAGCCGAATCTCAATAATACAAGTGTAACTGAAGCATGTTTTCAGCACGAGCTACAGTTAAAATCTGATTTCTTGAAATTTGTAAAAATCAGTTTTCCTTCACTGTCAGCTGATTGTCTCAGTTTGACAAACCTATGTTATTAATGCAACTGAAATTATTTGTTTACAATCATGTACAATAAAATGCTAAAAGATTAAAATATTAAAATCATTAATGTTTTTTTCCAATTATTTTTTTTAGATTTAAGAAATGTTTTTTCATTAAAATATCTACTTTTGAGACCAAACAAGTTTTAAAAAAATTCTTTTCTACAAATATATATTGTAACAAGACAACGTTAATTAAATAAATACATAATTTCATCATTCGATTATAAAAAGAAATCTTTGACATCACGTTATTTTACTTGCAAATTTAGGGCAAAAGTGTAATTTCTATTTTTGAACTGAAAGAGCTAAAATATTATGTTAATAAGCCACAGAGACACATCTGGATTTGTCCCAGTTTATATTCAAAAGTATAAATGTGGGTTTTTTTCTGTTTGGAGCTGGTCAGGTAGCTTTAAAAAATTTTGTTTCATCCTCAATCAAAAATAGCTGCAGGGTTTCATTTTTCACTCAACTCTATCCATTACTAAATATTTAAGATCATCTGATGTAATAAAAGTGCAACTTATCCTGTTAGGAGTAAAGGAAACCAGTCAAATCGGAGTTATCCCACCAGGTAAAAGCTTGAACYTGATGCAGTTGCTGCTGTTCATGGAACCATGATGCGTTACAAGTYTTTGTCATTTCAGTTTTATTGTTGCAGCTTAAACTAATCTGAGCACAGTGGATCATTCCTGGATCAGGAATAATTTGAGGAATTTTGCCTGCTTATCCTTTAACTTAACTGACCCTAAAAGGCTTGGCTTTCATTTTAATGCATAAGAKCCCCCCCCCCCTTCCCCCAACCCACTGGTGATGGTGACGGGACGGGGCAGAAGTGGAAGGTGGTTTTTAAAGAGACAGAGGCCAATTTTAAGGCGTTTAGAAGAGGATTGATGAGAAGATAAGTTTATTTTCTATTTAAACATAAAAACAGCATTTTAATAACAACTAAAGGTGACAGAGGCTACGTTCACACTGCAGGTCTTAATGCTCAGTTCCGATTTTTTGAAAAAATCCGATCTTTTTGTGTGAACGTTCACATTACATTTTAAATGTGACCTYCATCAGACCCCTGTGTGAACGCTCCACAGCACTGATGTGACACGCATGCGCAGTAAAAGACGTGACGTCTCATCAGCCGGCTTGTTTYTTTACAGAGCTAGCATGGATGCTACATTTTGCACATCGAATCGGAAGTTGTTGTTTAATCAGAGCCGATTAAATAATTATCTGACCTGCTTCTTTAGTTCAGTGTTTATATCTGAAGCTGCCTCTGACCGGGATGCTCCAGTGAAGCTTTTTTTTTTTTTTTGAACGAAACTACGAGCTGGAAAAAAGTATCGACTGAGTAGCTAACTTTAGGATCACTACTCTCCGCGACCCAGGCTGGACATCGTTATTATCATACTAATGAAAAGTAAAAAGATGAAGCAACTGGACTTGTGTTTTGGAGCTGTAAACACARYGAGCTYCAGATTTAAACAGCGAGACTTGAGGTTAGTGTCTTATCGATCCTTCACCRCCTCCTCCTGATGAAAAAGTCAGATGAATGAGACATGAGCGTTCACACTGCAGTCACTTTGAAAACATGAGATATATATCCGATTTAAAACCACATACTGAAACAGCCTGGGTCGGATTTGAAAAAATCAGATTTGTCTCATTCAGACTGTCATAAAAAAATCGGATATGAGTCATTTGGGTCAAAAAAATCAGATTTGGGTCGGATATGCCTGCAGTGTGAACGTAGCCATAGATACTTTAATATAGTATAGTATTTAAATGTATGCCTGAGAAACACATAATATTGGCCCTTTAAAAAAGTAACATTTACACTGCAAAAAATGTGAAAATTCCACCAGTGGAGTAAGAAAATGTTACTTGGTAACATGAAAAACTTGATTTGACTCAAATTTTTCTTATTTCAAGAAAATTTAGTTATATATTAGATTTTAAAACTTGATTAGATGGACAGTTTTTGCAGTGAAGACAACTTTGAAGTTTTTATTTTTAGGTGTAAGAACCTGATTTTCTCATTTACTGACTGCTGTTATGGAAATGAAGATTCCTCTACAGATCTTCAGTTGAATCCTCATCAGGAGGCCACACAGTTGTCATGTTGAGCATGTTTGCTCACAGTTTGATGTTAGATTCTGCTGCTGGACGAGTCATTCGGCCTTCAGGCCCAGACGAGACTGCAGGTTGGCCTTGTCTCTACCTTCAGGCAAACTTGTTATTTTTTTCTTTTTTTGCTTATTTAGCCATATTCTACTGCTTGGAATTTTCTCCAGCCAACAATTTTTATTTTGATTTTTTTGCAACTGTATTTTTTTTTTCCATTGTCGTCAGTTTTCCACGGGCTCCAGTCATGTAGAGCTTAAATTTCAGAATTTTCTTTCTGAGCTCCTGAGACAAKTCTGTCCTTAGCTTCCTTTGGTCCACATTCATTATGGTACACACRGTGTCACCAGACAGCCCTGTGACTACCTGTCAGTCTTTAAACAGACAGTTTAACAAGCCCCTGGGCTCAAATTAGTTCTAATCTTCGTTTGGGCTGCCGTCCTTTTTCTCAGTCATTTTTTCCCTTCTTATCCATTAGTCAGTTGGACGTGGTTTCAGTGACATTTGTGAGGTTTTCTTTTTTTAATAAAAAGGTGCCAACAGATGTATCTTGCATCTCTATGTGAATCTCACTGCTTTCTGAAAGTTTTGAAAAGCCATTTTGCAAGAAACATCAACCAAACTCTGCATTCTGAGCCATAAACTCAAATATGAAAAACAACGTTTAGACTTTTGCAGCTTCAGCAACTCCGAGAAGGTGCAAAAAAAAAGCTCCTTTTAGTGCTGATTTGCATCCAGGAAAACAAAATCAAGTTATTCTTGTCTACAAGTGTTCCATTAAATCATATCTGACCCCTGCACAGCACCATTGTGGTGTGTGTGTGGGTGTGGGGTGGGGGGTCACTTTGGTATAGCCACTAATACTGAGAGGAACGGGTGACAAATTGGAGCTTCTGCAGATTATAAAACAAAAAAACTGAACTGAGGTAGAACACGTAACACACACTCACACAGACAGGATAAAGACTAAATCTGTGTAATTTGTTTCTTATTCTGTTCTGTGTTTCAGCAACAGATGCGAGCTTTCTCTCGAGGAAACGCGTCACCAAAAAGTGTGGATCCCATCGAGCCTTTCATTCTGATCCTCTGTTTAATTAGGACTAAAGTATCAGTTTCTGACAGCAGATGAAATGAGGTGTGTGGGGAGGACTTACCTCTGAGTCCTTCTGTCATCAAACCTAAACTCCTGCTGCTCCATTCTTATCCTCCTTTCTGTTCCCTCTAAATGTGTTATTGTTGGGTTTCTGTTATTTTTCCTTTTTTTTTTAATGTCTTCACCTGCTTTTCACCTGCCTCTCTCCCCTCTCAGCACCTGTAGGAGTCCACATTTACACGCAGCGCCTCTGTGTTTGTGTGGCAGCTTTTGATATCTGCACGCTCCCCTGGAGGACTTCGCAGCGTGACGGAGAGCGTGCGTGAGCCCCCCTCGTTTCCCAAAACCTCTCTTCTGTCTGGCTGCTCCGCTCCCCGTCTCTTTGGCTGCGTGCATCACATTCACAAGTGGTCGTGGAGGTGAAGGCAGGGCATCAAATAATGGGGGGGGGG